AGAGACTAAGTAAGTCTCCCTTTAGCCTATCCTGAATGAGGGCTCAGGCTGATTTGGATCCAAGAACAGGGCAAAGAATTCAAACTCTGTACAAAACTCTGGATCTGGTAATGGAAACAAAGTAACTATCAAATCTTGTCCAAACAATACAAACGAGTAAACAGTGAAAAATCCAAGCACTTAATTTTCTCCACTACCACTCATCTTCTTACATCACAGAAACTGAATGGATGCATCTCTGACTGTTGATATGTTGTGTGCAAGATACTGAAGATGTAAAGCTTGGCACAGCTGTTCACTCATCATGATTCTTGGGTTTTGCCACACCTTGAACTGGTTTCAGGAGCTGAGAGAAAGTAGCAGCTTCATACTTTAAAAAAACTGTCATTTTAATTTAGTTTTCTTATTGTTTGGCTTCTGGTAACAACTTTATTAACTGTCCAGCTCCAGCAAGTGAAAATTTACAGCTGCAGAGAAAGGAGTACAAATATATACTTTAAAACTGCTAAGAAAATAATTATAGACTTCATCTCCTCCAGACAATGCAGCAGTCTTTCTACACAAAACCTCTGCACCCATGATATACAATTTAGGAAAATCAAAGGAGTGATCTGTAAGGAAATGCAATACAGTAACGTGAAGCCCCAAACTGGACTAGCCAGCTCTTTATTGTTTTCTTGATACAATATTTTATGAAAAATTAAAAAAACCCAACCAACAGATGTTTAGTCCAACTGCAAAACTCAACACATATGCAGACCTAGTGATGACACGACATTTCTGCCTTCTAGTGCTGTTTTTTTTTCATATGACACAGACTGTAAGAGTTCCTGCAGAACAAAACTACATTTTTTTTAAAGGTTATTCCCACAAAAAAAAGTTTCATCAGCTTAATCAGTATTCATTAGTTTCCAGACATTATCAGAGGCCTTCACTTGCTCTCCCTGAAGCCAATGACAAGACTCTCATTGTCTCCAACAGGAGTGAAGCTCTCCAAGAATAAGGCAAGGATGATAACTTGGAACTTCTGTGCAGTTTGGAGTAATACAAGAGGATTGGAATGCACCTTGGAACGGGTAGGACTACGCGTAAGTAACACCCACAAAAATCAAACAGTGTTTCGCCATTGGTCCTGAAATAACACATGTAAAATGATGCAGATTCTTGCAGTGCTATGAAAACTAATACAAACGAAGCTTGATTAATGTGGTAGGCTTTTTTTCCAAGCAGTACAAATCTATGATGTTAATTTGGTAATGAACGGGTTCTGAAAACAGTATTAGCCATAAATAATCCAGGTGTTATGAAACAGAATAAAATTAACTAATATAAACACGTTATTAAAAGGTAATTGATGAGTATGTTTGTGCATACAGTTTTTCTCATCTCATACTAAGCTTCAGAACTCTGTAAACTGCGAGGCATCCGTCGTGTGTAACGTGGCAGGAAGTTATATCACACGTCTCCGTTATTTTATTCTGTTCAGTCCCCTTCCCATCAAACATGCAAACACCGTCATCACCATTTTTGGCTTCACTTCCACCAGGTCATCGGGAAGAGCATAAATACGAGCACCGATTTTTCGAGCGACCGAAATGGCGTACCTTGAGAACGGGACAAAGCAAACACTGTCACTGGGCTGGCATCTCTGACCTGTCACGGTTCACAGCAACAAAACCAGATTTTAATACATCTGTTCAGGCACTACTTGGGCTCTGCTAGAAAATGGAGGGTATTGTGAAGAGAGCATGTATCAGCAATTCCACTGGCAGATGTTTCCCTACTGGCTATCACAGCATTTATTTTTGCCCCAACCAGTATGGGTTATGGTGGGCTATTCAGAAACCAACTGCAGTGCAGTGGTGGGAGGTCACGTCACCTGTGATTTTGAGTTCATAGTTTAGATATGCGAGAAAAATAACTCGGTAACGTTAGGATTTAGAATGTATTCTATTTGAAACAAATCAATTAATATTAGTGTAATTTTTCTCTGTGAACAAATCAGCAAATCGTTAATTACACCATGATTTCATGCATTTCGGCACCTCAGGAAAATATAACGCATTCATTTAGAACTTACTTGGCATTATTCAATTTGTCTTGGTAAGAAAGGTCTTCCCTCTTGACCATTTCTGGACGAACTGCTTTTGGGGCAATGGCATCTATTAAATCTAGGACAGGTAAACTAGTGCTAATTGATTTGTCCTAAAAGAAAAAGACTCAAAGATTAATTGAAGGAATTTGCTTTGATTATTCCATCTTCACAATGCAAACAACCCTACAGCACATATTGCATACATACTGAAAAACAGAGGCCTGTTTTGTTACTTTATGGTGTGAAGGTTTTCCTTATCCTTTATGAGATCTAATGTTCTTTTCTGCAATTAGAATTATAAGGTTCACTGCGCTGATATTATTACACCAGTGGTTTAAATTTATTTGATGTCAATAGCACTTGGCTTTCACAGTCCACAGTAAAGGATCAGGCACTTGTGCATTCTCTACTATCTGTTTGCCATTGTAATGCCAAAATCCAAAGAGTGACAGACAATATATACATGAATATTGTAAAAGAATTAGTTGTAAAAAAAAAAAGGAATATTGAATAATGTCCCTTTACATCACTATCTCCTTATCTTTACTGGTCAAGCGTCAGTTAAATTATCTTAAAAACACCAGCTGAATGACCTTAAAAACGAGCTGTGTCCCACGAGAAACACAGGCATACCAAAAGCAAGATAGTGGGACAGGTTCCCTTCAGACTTTCACTTATTTAATACCAACATTATTACAATATATGCAGAAATAAGAGAAGCAGCAGTCTCTCTTAAGAAAAGACCTAAGTTACCTCCTAGAGGGAAAATAAGACAATTTTGTAGAGCAAAATATTTCATCTTCTGCCTAATAACGCTTGCCTAATATAAAGTTCCTAACACAGTGAGCTCTCAAATATTTAACTCATGTTCCTGTTGTGAATCACCCACATAACTGCTGCAGATTACACAGGGAACCTGGATGAGAATGTTCCATTTGCATGCAGGTGCAATTATCAATCTGCCATTTCTAGAGACTCACACAGCTTCCTCCACGTTTGACACTTTACCAGTGTGGAAGGAAAACTTCCTTGATCAGTTTGTTCCCGTTTTTTGCTGCACGGGCACAGCTCCCGGTTGGCACAGCCCCGCTGCACGTCGGCGGTGCCCAGCAGGGCACCAGGTGTCGCTGCTTACCTTGGGCTCCCTCTCCTGTCACACTGAGAACATCTTTTTAACCAGCTGTCAGGAAAAGTATTGAGCATTTCCAAAATCGTTCTTCATACCTGCACAAGCATGTGCCTATATCTAAAAATCTGAAACATATACGACATGCCATGCCCAAACATTGGGAACTTCAGGCAGAAGCCCCTTTCAAAGCTTCAGCTTCTTTTTCTTTTCTTTTTTTTTTTTTTTTTTTTTGTTGTTGGGTTTTTTGTTTTCTACCTTACTGTAGCTATTAAAATTTCCTTTTCTTATTAATAGATCAGTAAAATACTTCTGAGGGTTCACAAACTGTCAGAAACACTTCCTTAAAGAATTGTGCCAGCTGATGGGAGAGCCCCTGTTAAAGCCAAACTGTTAACACACCAGGTTAAAAATCCCAGCTGTGACTGTATATGAACAGAAGAGTAAATAAATTTGATTACCTTGAAACTTGAAATTGAGGCTTTCTTATCTGCTTTTGCAAGTGTCTGATTCACCCACTTAATAATAATTTCATCAGTTACTTTTTCCCCCTCTCCGAGGTCTGAGAGCACATTCAAAGTATACCTTCAATAAAGAGAACAAGAGCCCAGGTTAAAATGAGTGCTAGAACCCAACTCTGCCATATTTTAATTCCAGCTTCTAGTTTATAAGGTTTTAATTGCTGTTATAAATTGTTTTTCAATCACTACACAGTATGTAAAATTACAAAACACACATAAAAGTTTCTCTTTGAGAAGAGGGATATTTAGAGATTTGCTCTCTAAAATACCTGTTGGGTGAACTGACCACTGGCCTTAACTTGCCTTGATATGCAACACATATACACATGCACAGAACATATTTTTTATTTTATTTATTTATAATTTATTTATATTTATCTATCATAAATTATGCCCAACTTACCTTCTCATCAGCTGCCAGACCAAAGCCAAAGTCAGAGTTGGATTTCCCTCATTTAGATCGTGTCCAGCAATACCAACCAGGGAGAATTTGGCTTTTGCCTTCCCAAGTTCCACTGCATAATTGCAATTCTCAATCTAAAAAGAAATGTTGTGTGCAAACGATGAAAACACCTTATTATTTCTGCAATACAGATTTATAATCTACGTGTATTTTGAATAACCTTAGCTTACTGTTACCTATGGTGAGATTTGAAGCTAGAGAAAGATTTCTAGTCTACCTGCACTGTGATTAAAATAACACCGTTTTTACTATAAATGCAAGTGTACAATATTCAAATGATGGGATTTTTCCCACATTTGAAAAAAACACTTTCACTAAGACAGTGAATTAAAATATAGTTATATCAAAACTATATACTTGGAAAAATATTTCAATGTGTCCTTAAACAGATAGTAATTTTTATCCTCTGTGGTCACCAAATGAAGAGAAAACTTGGATTCTGCAAGTGTGGCACAAAACACCCGCACATATGCTGGGACTGGAGCAGCAAGCAATGATGGCTGTGTCACACCTGACACACTTACATATCCAAACCAGACCATAAATTAAATATTGCCAAAAGGTGTCCACGTTTCTGAGGTGATCTATGCTGTAAGTACTATTTTTCCTTGGGATAACATCTGTTTTTCCCGCGCAGGGCTGTCCCCGTAGCACACAAACGCAGACAGCACATCCTACCACCTGCACAGAGCAGGCAGTGCGGCTGGGCTGTACCCACAGGGAACCACCCACCTTCTTCATGTTCCCACCCAGCAGGGAGTAGGGAGGTTTGTTGACGTGGTTCCAGTCAACCGGCACACGGGTCAGGTCGTACAGTTGGAAAATGATTAAAGCATCAGAAAGGTCGCTAAACCGAAGGAAAACAACGTTTTTAGGCACAAAAACTCATATTGGTTATGGAAGTACGTACTTGAGATCAAAGTGTAATTAAGCTGCTGAAAAAACTCCAGACATTTAAATAGAATGGGTGTCATTCTGTAGAGAATATTATATTCTATTTCTTGATTTCTGCAATTATATACATAAAATTCTGCATTTAATTTCATTGTTTTCATAAATCTTAGTGAAGTAAGCTCAGCCATAGGCTTTACCAACTTCAGTTAAATAATTGCTTTCATACAGTGAGCACAGACAAAATAGCTGCAAAAGGTTTTTAATTTATTGATCTAGCTTTAGTTTCCTCAGGATTTTTCCAGACGTTAAATGCTGTTCTTTATCTGTGCCTACAGATACATTTTGTTAAAGAATAATCAAATCCAAGGTACTTATCTTGTGAAAAAAGTATTATTTTCCCATTATATATTGCATTTCTGCTAATCCACTTGAGCTACTTACTGAGTGCAATTCTCCTCGTTAAGCTCCCTACAGATCACTTTACAGAGGCCAGAGAAGAAACCCAACAGCAAATACACATGCAAACAGATGCTCCCAGTTGCTCTCTCTGTCTCATCTTTTATTGACAAGATCTGAATCAACTGCTGGCACAATTTGGAAGTGACCAGAAGCCTCTAAAAAGCATGTTATAAAAGCCCTTCCTTTGAGGGAATACCCCACTCTGGACAGCTCCTTACAGTCTACTGAGAAAAACCCCATGCATCATAAAACACAATTATCTCAACCTCTAAAAAACATAAAGTACAAATGAGTGAGGGGAAAACATAAAAACCTTCTTAGTTTTTCCAGTATTCCTAGGTGATGACTGGACTATTTGAGTATCATACTACTTAATGTGGCTCTACAGATTAGTTCTGAAGTTCCCATCACACTGTGTGGAAACCTGGAAATCACTGTTCTGGTAGAAACACAACTTCCCTCCCTCCTTCCCTTGCTTCTTGCCCTGTCATCCAAGGAAAGTCAACTAAATGTTTTTAAAAACTCTTACCTGTACAAATGATTAACATATGGGCTTACACCCAGTGAATTCATCCAGTTTCTGAAAGTCCTTTCTTCTTTACTTTCTCCTACGGTGACAAATACAATTCTCAATAAATTATTGAAGGAAACCCTTTAAGAAGCAATGTTTAAATGGCTCTCCTACTCCTCACACCCCCTCCCTCCCCAAAATGAGTTCCCACTTTCCCTGGCAGTGTCATGGGGCAATCCCAGACTCCCTTCATTCTGGCCACAGGCACAGAGGCACTACAGGGAGTACTGCTAGGCTACATTTTTCTGAGTAAATGCAATTTGATGAAATAAAATAGACTTCTTTTGTTATATTTTACGTAACTAATGTATCGTGAAGAAAATAGTGATGATTAATAATACTTTCCTAAAACTAAAATTAGAGTGACAATTGCATTCACCAGTATGGTTAAATCTATTAGAAATGGCATCTTTTTATTAAAAGTTAGTACTAACACACTTATGGCAATTGCTGACACTACAGCTTGACTCTCTCCTGTGTTAATTTGTGAGGGGCCTCCCAAAAGCAACAAAATTCACTTTTTTTAGTTTTTAGCAAAGCAGTGATGTATTGGTTAAATCTGTGAAGCTGTCAAGGGGGCCAGTTATTCTCACAGTTTTAACAGCAATTCTGCTTATGGGAACTGCAGAAAAGTAATTAGGAAGTAAAACCCAACCTTCACTTTCCTGCCTTGGATTGCTCTTATCCTTTGCCACCATGAGTCCTAAACCAACTTCCTCTAGAAAATTACAGCTTGCAATAAATACATTGACTTTCTACACACAACACTGCCTAAATTTTAACAATGTATTTGTGGCCAACTGCCTGTGAATCAGTGCTGCTTAAGCTGTTTTCTCTTCCAGCAAAGAAGCACATTTAAGAAAATATTTTGCCTGAATGTGTGAGCTTGGAATAACCTCGTCACTTCATTCCCACAGTTAAGAAAGCAGGACACTGAGGAGGGAGAAAAGCTCCCCAAGCAATGAAAGAACAGATTTCTCTGGACTGAAGCTCAAATACCTCAGTAAGATTTTTCTCTGCTGCTCCTATTTGCTCCTTAGAGGGCAATGCTGCCAGGTTTGTCTGATGAGGTTTATGTAGCATGACAACTGTCTCACTTAGGGCTGCAGTTCTAGGCTGACTACACCATAATCAATGCTTTTGCTACTGTGTAAACATGTATTTATCACTAGACGAGAAAGAAAACCCCTTTACTATTATTTTTCCATGCATAACATTGATTTTTAGGTAGAGGTTACAGTTTTAATCGAGGTCTCTTACCCTGTTATACAAAAAGCTCTGTGGGCTTCAGAAATTTCAGCTGTAGTTTACAATTTCTAACAGAATAGATGTGATTTAAAAAGTTTCAGCCAGCTTACCAGTTACTCTCCTGTACTTATGAAATAGATTATATTCATCCTACTGACACATTTTCTGAATTATGAGGTTTTTTCATATGCAGTTGGAACTAGTGTTTGTTTCAAATATTTACTTGTAAAAATAATCAGAGTTACTGATGAATATATGCTGAAACAAGGAAAAATACTATTCTACCAGGTCATCAGTCAGCTTTGTTTCTCATATTTCTTCCCATATTAAAATTTAAAAGAACAATCACATTTTGTGACAAAGCTTTAAAAATATCAGTTTTCCCATTAAAAAAAAAAATCACAATTCAAGAATGACATATAATTTAAGTTTCTAAAGAGTATCTTTATAGTATTTTGAAGCAAGTACCTTTTGCTTTATTTTTAGAAGTGTGGAGTTCATTTGCAGCAGTACCCGAAGTACTGACTGCAAAGTGCTTTTAGGAACCCTTTCCCAGTGCAAGGACAGCACCAGGGTCATGTCATGAACTCTCACTAAAGAGCAGAGCCACAGCAACAGGTACTCAGCAACTGCACTCAGACAGGGTTTAAAAGGCATGCTTAACACTGCTCAAAGAACCCAAAGCAGCCAAGCAGGAGCACCAGCATGCAAGTTGGGCTGAACCTTTCTGGATAGTGGGAATCCAGGAACTAACCCTAGCATCCCATATTTAATATGCCACTCTAACCAAATCCCTTTATCATGCAACACAGAAACGTTTGTAAGTTTTCCAGATGGCTGAGAACTGATCAATTGTTTCTCTCTATTCTTTTATTCAAAATATACCTTGTGATCCTATCAGGAGCATATCTTCTGCTGAGTGGTGCAGCAGATAGCCAAAATCATTGGGAAACTGCAGAAAGGGGGCAGAGCTACACAAAAGAGAGAGGAGCAAATTTGGTAGTATCCTTTATATTTATTGCCTTCTCTTTCTTTGAGATCACTACACTGTGGAACTGAGTGGGGAGCAGACATTGCAAGGGGGTCAAGAATCCAAAGAGCTCCAAATATCTGGAAGATCACAGAGCTCGAGATGCCATTGCACTGTGAATTCAGCCAGCCTGAGGGGGAGCAGTTAACCCTGGTAACAGCCATGAAGGCTGCAGCGATCCAAGCAACGGCACAGGACACCGACACTGGAGAAAAGGTGGGTGGGGTGGACACAGGTCCCTCCTCTTCCTCCCCCACGAGCTCAGCTTTCTGTACGACCTCAGCTGCTTTCCCCACAAGCAAGAGGTTCCTCAGAACAGCAGCAACGTGCAAAGAGGTTGTGCATTAAGTGAAGTCAGGAGTGTCCCCTCCACCCCCACACAGTGTCAGGTGTTCATTTGGTTGTGTCAGTGTTCCTGAGGGATACACTCCTCGTATACACATCACCAGGCTTATTAAGGATTATCAGGGCAGATGGCAGTTAATGCACAGAACCCATCCTCTGAAACTCAGGAGAACTGCTGCATCGTACCCTTTGGGTGGAGCAGTCACTGAAAAGATGGAATTTCTGCAGGAAAATGAAGACTTTCAGAGAGCTCTACTCACCCACACGTGCCTACGTGTGTGGGTGACGTCCCTTACTGGCTAAACCCACTGGAATAACTGTATGACATTTGACTCACTGCCACTCGTGCCCCCATTTCATGTCCATCAGACCTGGGGGGGTTTTTTCCTTCTCTCTTACTTTTGACGGCATATTAAAACAATAGAAACATGTAAGAACAATGCAAAAAATCAACCAGAAAAGGACAGAGATGATTAAACACTAGGAAAAAAAAAAAAGAAGGAAAAAAAAAGAAAAACTGCAGAATAAACACTTTTATGGAGTACAGAAAAGTACTAAATACAGTACCTACATTAGGAGGGGTCAAATCTGCATTTCATGAAGCAAAACAGGAAAGCATTATAAATTATGAGTCAGATTTCAACAGACAATCTATGATGAAACTATAAAGAAATTATTGTCATATTTTACATCACTACCTTGAGAAAATAACAGTAAAAACACAGGATTTTATGGAAAGAAAATAAAAACATATTAACAGAAAAAAAACATTAACAACATTGTCTTTTGGCTAAAATAACTCTTTTGATGGTTTAGGTCTACATGACACTACGGGAGTTGTTATTAGGGGGCAAAGAAGAGTCATCTACTTGCCTTTGAACTGATAGCACTGGCATGATTACCCATCTCTAAAATATATACTATAAATAGTAAGTTAATTTTGGCCAGTATTTACCATTACAAAATCACAGTATGGCATTCAGGTGATTGTAAGTTTTTACAACTGTTTTAGCTGAGATTTGATCTTGTGTAAATATTTCAGGAAAGTCCAGAAACTAGTTCAGCTGGGGTGTTTTTTTTGCCATGCCAATGAAAACTTCCAAATTTGTCCAAGTTTTCAGTATTTGGAATCATTTGGAATCACACCAGCAACTTTGTCTTCAGAACACAGAAGCTGAACATAATCCACCTCCACACAGCTCCTGTATAAATGTGCAAGAGCACACATTTCTAATAAAATTGCAGCAGAGGAAGGCCAGACCTTTCCTTTAAGGATTTGTGGTGGCCAGCAGGGACTGCAGGGACTGGGGATATCCCAGCTGGAAAGGGAGCGGTGTGCTCTGCCACCTCTATCACAGCTGGCACCAGCTGAAGCCACAAGAGCAGGGAGCCTGACACGGGAGCGCTCTGAGGGATAGAGGTTTGTGACACAGGGATGCAGCAGCGCAGACAAACCATGAAAAACCAGGAGCAAAGGAAGATGGACTCACCTAGATGGAAAGGAAACCTGATAGGAACAGTAAGAGGAAGGCAGGAGAAGGCAGTGCAGAGGAATGTGTGAACATTGCTGATGGTTCTCCCGAGTGCAGCACCCCTGATTCTCACATTCCTTTGAGATCAGTGAACAAAAACACACTGGCAGGAGCCATTGCATTATCCTGGATTAGCTGGTCCACAGCAAGGGCAGCAGCCAAAGACTGTTACCAATTATCCCTTTAGCATTAGAATCTGAGGAGCCCAGTTAAAGGCCAAGCTCCCTGACACAAGAGGGTCTCTACAGGCTGTTGATGCAATGCATTAATATCGGTTGCTGATACAGAAACCTTTCTTTAAAAAAATATTTCCCGCCTTAAAAGGCAACAAACAAACACACACAAATATGTATCAATGAAGGATGGGAAAAAACACTTTAAAAGACTATTACAGTTGCTGTGGAAACAAGGTAAGCCAGTAGCACCTACACAAAGTTAATTAGAATCAAAAGGGAGTGTTTCGGCCTCAGAGCTGAGAAGGAGGGTGTGAATTAAAGCATCGAGTTTGCAAAATGTCCTGGGAATGCTGGTTAACTGAATGCACGTGCTGCTGGCTTCCCTTGTTCCCACAAGCTGCACAGTATGGCACTGCAAACTGGGAAAAGCTAGAATTTGTACAGCAGCTAAAATATAAACAGCATGGAAAGAAGCACGGGAAACTGGAAGGAAAGTAGGAGGACAGCTTTTGCTTTTGCTCCTGCAAGTGAATAATAGAAGGTTATTCAGGAATAACCACTGGGTCAGGCTAACACAAGGGAACAATATACACAGCAACAGGCACTTCTACCGAGGCTCATATTGACTGCTAGTGAGAAAAGACAGGCACCATCACACAGGGATCCTACATCACAACCTAGAAGGAGTACTTAAATATAAATCACTAATATCCTTATCTTCTGTATGCTTAGGAAGTTGAGTACCTTCTAATAAATTGAGATCGTAAGATGAACTGTCAGGCTTGTGTAGGGCTGGGTAGGTGTTAAAGAGATTTGCAACAAAAGCTAAATTGAGTTTAGGGTTGCCTGCAACCACATCAGCTGGAGTTACAAACTGCCTGCAGCCCAGTTTATCTGCCTGTTGGAGCATGTATTCAGCCCTCCTCAGGTCATTTTTATCCTAAAAAGAGAAACAAACAAACAACAGTTAATTTGCAGTAAGTACCAGCACAGTTTCATTTTTTTATTGGATCTTCAGGTAGGACAGTCTTTAAGTGACCCATGGCACTTCCTCCCTCATTTCTCAATGCCTGAGCTATCTCTTCCTGATGATGTGACACCTTTTTTTCTGTCCTTCAGCATTCCTCAGGAATCCCAGAAACTGCAGTCAGAACTGCAGCGATTGTACTTCCATTTCCAGACTGCTGATTCCTGTGTTCCATATTCTGCCAAAGGTTCACCATCACTGCTTTAAACTGGTATTCTCAAGCACAGTAATGACAGATGATGCCCAAAATCCTCAGTGAAAGTTTGAATGTTTCAGACTTGCCTTCCTCTTAATATTTTTGCCTCTGAATCATAAGTTAGCAACTTCTGTGTTTTGTTCATTGGCCTTTATTAGCAGTGTACAGGTTTGTAACTCACTACAGAACAGGATCATGTGAACTGTAGGAAATCTGTCCCTTTACAAGGTCAGTCTTGATGGGTGCCACACTGTCCTGCTGGTTACTGGAGGGGCTCACATGTTAGTTCTGAAGGCTCTTGGGTTTGAGGAAGGATCACAAGGTTTGGGGAGTTTACTCTTTTTCCTCATCTGAGTTCCAGAAGAGGAAAAGCGAGCAGGATGTTGTAATATTTGTGTTGGATGACCAGCTGACAATAAACACACACTATCCAAGTCCAGCCCAGCTGC